CTGATCATTTATGTATACATTTGTCTATATCTATCTCGATTCGTTTTGCCTGTTACAAACAACCGTTATGTGAACAAAGTTATAATACCCTTGTGCACAAGTGCGCTCGGGTATAAAAATTATGTGTCGCGCTGACGGCAATCGTTCTCTAGAACCAGCTGGAAGCCCACAAATAACAGCAATCACCACTGCACGTTCAGTCACTGCCATACATACGAATTTGTTCTCAAATATTGAAGTTGAGTCACGTTTCTTACAATCGGCTTATTAACCATGAAGAATCAAACCATAACTTGGTTGAAAAAACCATTGTGCTTTTGGCCTTGGCCTATTAGGCACCCCTTTTGTTGTACTATAAACTTTTGTATTTCGTTTGGGGGACCGATACATAAATGTTAATATTTACATATACTAACCTGTATTAAGCTCGCCAAGAGGAATGCCGCTACGAAAGCAAAGGTAACCGTCGTTGTTGACATGTGTATGTAATCGGCAACAAACACGAACACAACATTACCGGGAATCGACATGCCAAGGAGAATACGCGCCGTTTTAGCATAGGGAACTAAAAGATAAATAGAGAGAGAGAAAACATCGCATTAGATATATTGGTTTCTAAACAAATAAATGAATATATAATTGTAATTATAATCGTTATCATTATAGATAAAAAAAATTTAAAAGAAAAAAAAAATTTTTAAAGCAAACTTTTTGAATATGAACCATATCGGACCATAAATACTGAGTTACCAAATATATCGTGAAGTTTTAAGTCTCTAACACATATGTATACTTACATACATACATACATACATACAGAGTACGTTAAATAAAAGCTTTTAATAAAAATAATCATCATAATTACAACCGCAATCACAATCATACTTATAATCATAATCATCATCAACATCATAATCAAAGCTGGTTACGCTGAGAGAATTGTTCAGGCAAAACACGAAAGAGAAATTGTAAAACAAATATTTTTGAAATAATTTTAATGATTTTTCGTCTCTCCTGAACAATTTAAAAATAAGGACTTGGCAAATTTTAAAAACCAAAAAAAAAAATATTAGAGATATTCCCTTAAATACGTAAAGGCCTGATAAACCTCGCAAGTTTACCAGCCTCGTAAAAGAACTGTCGAAATTTGCATGGAGCTCAGTTTACGCGCACCTCTTAAAATTACGAGGCAAATTTGATACGTAAAAGACCTCGTAAACTTCAGTGTTGCCGATGGGCCGAAAATTTTATAATAAAATATATGATCGAATAATAAAATGAATGAATTTCATCCACTTACTGTATAGCCTTGGGGTTCCTGCTAATTTTAGGTATTTTTAATTATATCTTAAATTTCATTCGAGCTGAGGGAATACCCTTATTGTTGGTGCAAAGCCTGAGTCAAAACGCTTCCATACAAAATTGAAAACCTAAATTTCTCTATGTAGATATTGCTTTGACACGCTACATGTTTTTTCTCTGCCCTGAAGGTGATGAAGCTTCAGACCATTTTCTCCGTTACTGCCCGGCTTAATCCATTTGAAAGCTCAAATGGTCAAACTCTTTGTTATAAAGAATTCGCCTACCAAGGCAGCGCTGGAATTTATAAGGGAAGCCAAATGTATCTGGGGCACACTGAGTTAAGGACTATCTCTCTAAGGTAAAGTATAGTTAAATCGTTAGTTAAACAGAAAATCACACAGAATTTTCTGTAGTAAAGTTAAGCTATGATTTAACCACACTTTAAAAAAGATAACGGCGTCTTTTGTTATGTATACCCAAGCTCTAACTAACTATCGTAAGCCATAATCATAACTGTAATCATAATATAATAATAATTTTAATTATAATTCTAAAATCAAAATTTTAACCTTATAATCATAATCAAAGTCTTACATAAAGATTATTAAAAAGCATCTTTGTCATTATTTGAAACTTATTAAACACGAACTCCAAAGTTTTTTTTTTTTATCGTTCGATGCTCTTGAGGCTTTTGAAACTTTTTCCCAGTTCCTTTATATGTACTTTACATTCTCATTATTTTATTTTCCATTTAGAAAACTCACCTCCTTTGAAAAGCGCCTTCCATGGCCACTCGAAGATTTTCGTATGCGGCGGAATGATGCCAATAATGGAACTCTGATGCAGCATGGTTGAGATTTTACTCGCTTGCACCGATACCAAATTACCACCAATACCATTGATAATCGGTTGAAAGACAACAAAGCCATCGAATATTTCCACAGCAGCATCAAGCACGAGACCGCCGAGGCTAAAAATATAACAAAATGTGAAATTATTAAATTAAAAAGAGTGTCATAATGATTGGCAGATGTTGCGTATACGTCACGTTAGTATAGCAATTAGTTGCAAATTCACGCGCTCAAGTGTTTCATTTGCATAAAATTGTTAAAAAAAAATCTGTTTTGTGAATCTGATTTTTTTACTCCAAATAAGTATGAAGCTGGACATCTGCGCAATTGCTTTTAAGTACGCTTATAAATACTCGCAGATGAGTATGGCTGTATGACGTCAATTTAATCAAATAAAACACCTGTTTGAGGTAAATATTTCGAGTGACGAAAGCTGAACTAGAAACACAAAATTTATGATATCAATTTCGTGACGAAAATTATACGCATTTTTTTTAACTGCCCTGGAAACTGACGCAAAATAGTTTTATTTATTCGGAGCGACTTTTTTTTTAAATTTGAATCGAAATATCTCCACAATAAGAGTTTTCCCAGGCATAAGCTATATACAAAATTAAAGCTAGGGTTTTGGGCTAGACTTGAGGATACCTAGAATAAAATTGACTGACCAGTTTTTGAGAAAATGCTCGAAATCTATATTTTCAGCAGCCCGATTTTTAGTTTTCAGGCGATAACATTTTCTGGACACACTCTGCAAGACCTTTCCAACGATATCTCAAACATGTCGATTGGACGTCTGGATAAAAACTTCCAAATGTCGTGTATATATATAAGCGAGTGGCTGCTTTCGTGACTCGCGCGCACTGCTGCTGTGCGCTTTGATTTAACTAAGCTCGTAAGTTTTGTTAACTTATTTCTTTTTTGCTTTGTTTTTTTTTTTCGTCAACACAAACTTTTTCGTGCTCCGAAATGATTTTAAGTGGTTTCGAGCAAAGTTCTATTTTAAATTTATGGCTACATTAATGACATAGCAGCTTAGTTTGAAAACAACTCGAGTCATGTTTATATTTTTATATTCACTTGCGGTTTTTATACCCAGCGCACTTGTGCACAAGGGTATTATAGCTTTGTTCACATAACGGTTGTTTGTAACAGGCAAAACGAACCGGGATAGATATAGACAAATGTATACATACATAAATGATCAGAATGAAAATAGGAATCGATTAAGCTGTGACTGTCTGTCCGTCCGTCTGTGCATACGATAACTCGAGTAAAAATTGAGATATCTTAACGAAACTTGGTACGTGCACTTCTTTCGGGCGTAGGACGGACGATATTGAAAATGGGCAAAATCGGACAATAACCACGCCTACCTCCCATATAACGGTAGTTTTCAGAAATACGAAAACTGCGATATTTTAGTACCTACTTAAGCTCGGTAACCGTTCTACCAATTTGTACCAAACTCGGTATGATTATTGTGCATGCCACGCTGAAAATTATTGAAATCGGCCAAAAATTACGGCCACTTTTCATATAACGGTAAATTTCAGAAATGCTTGAAACTTCTATAATTCAAAATTTAAGGACGCTAATTTACGCAAAATTGATACCAACCTTGAAAAGAAGTAACATTATTTGGAATTTAGGAAAATGGGCATGATACTGCCCACAAATGACTATTATAGGTTTATCTCATTATATCTAACTGAACATTCTATCGAAGATGTTTAAAATATGTAGGAGTAAAACCACCCCTGCTTACCATGTAGCGGGTGTTTTCGGAAAGGTGAAACACATGTCACCTCACATGGCAGCCCTGCCTGAAATATGCACCCCTGAGTATGAGGCAACGCAAGAGACGAGCGAGAAAATAGAGAGTCGTTCGTGTGAGTCCGTCGTGTCAACATCTTCTGCGAGCCGTGATTGTCATTAAATGCATTCCGATTAATTATACATTCAATTCTAATAAATATACATATATATTATTATTCTAAATTACTAGACTAAACAGACAATTCGTATTTTAGTTAAAATGAGAAGAGATCGGTAATCCGGACGGTCAACTGGCACACATATATGTATCTAATAATTGCGCCAGGTATTTAATGTTCGGCTCCGCGCGAACTTAGACTTTCTTACTTGTTTAATTTAAGATTGAAAGTCATTATGTTGACTGCACACGAGGCAACTATTGAGACAAGCAGAGCATATTGCTTTGACCGTTGCCTCGTGTGCAACATTATTGCTCATTGAAATTCGTATTGCCGCAACCGTCTCCTGAAAATCAAAATTTTTTGATGCAAGTATTGCTTTTATTGACATAAGGCGTTATACATGCAAAATAAAATAGATTTCAAGAGCTTTATAAAGAGACTTTTTCATAGAAATTTTCGATTTATGAAGCAGTTAAGGCCTTCTTTATTTTCTGTGAATTTGGCTGTTAGTTATTTCAAAATAAGGGAGCTTAAAGGGTGTTTTGCCGCAATAGATACCTCTAAATTGAGCAGGAGAGAAAAGTTGATGCAACATGTTGCTTCAACTGTGGCCCCGTTTGTAGTCAACATTAAAAAATTTGGACGCAAGTACAAAAAAAAATAATGCCAAAAATAATAATGTATGACCACATACTTATACCTACATATTCGTTTTGGATAATTCACCTCAAATTTACGACACGTTTTATTAATTAAAAAATACTAGAATAAATATCTAAATTGTGCTTTTTGGTTAAATATTCTTGCTAAAAATCTCTAAATATATGTATATCTAGCTGGAATTGTAAATCATGGCTGATATTTTCTAGAGCAACTGACCGCGATACGACAGAGATGCTAATTTACTTTTCACATTTTGTAAACGTTGCTTCGCTGATTTGGATCAGTTACTGGTTTTTATTCTTTGAACTTTTTGTCATAGAGTTGCTCGGAAGTCTTCTCTTATAATTTTCATACAACTTTAGCAAAAATCTTGAGTTAAGGATTTGGGTGAAAGCTGTGGAGCTTTTAAATGCTTTACCAGGGGCTGGATTCTGTAACTGTGTGAAAATGTGGTGTACACCGAGTGCAAAAGTCACAACCAAAAACTCACCGAATAAATTTCAGTGAGTTTTCCGCAAGAGAAGTGTGCACAATTTTGACAGCTAAAACTCATTCTCACGCTTCCTGAATCTTAAAAAGAAGAGTGTAAACAATTTTCAGTGTACACGTGAAAAATCCAGCCCCAGCAGTGGCATTCTGAAAATTGCTATCGATAATTTTGATAGCAAAAAATCTCTAAAAGAATAAGGATTTCGACAGAACTTGCATGGACATAACTTTTACGTGAAATAAGTATTGTTATCGATCGATTTTTGGTCCATGGAAATAAATTCAGACGTTGCTTGGAAAATATGCGAGAAATAAGTTTCATGATAATTTTGGATTAAATGAGCCGCTCACTGACCAAATTGATTAACTCCACTTTTTAAAAATCTTAAATTTAAGTGTGTTTTCTTTTTAGAAACGCACCTAAAAACATTACGATTTCGCTGGTTTCAGTGAAAAGATCCTTCGATTCGGCATTCGTGGATGAACAGCGAAAGTAAGGGCGCCCACGAAAACAATGGAAGCACCAAATGTAGAAGTGATGGAGCGAAAATATAAGATCCAATATCAAAAAGTTGTTACGAATGGTTACGAGTACTTGCAAGTTTTAACTAGAAATGCACTCAATAACACAACAAATTTTCAAAAGAGAGCGAATTCGAGAGCGCAACAATCTGATAGAGCTGCAAATTCTTGCAAGTAAAAATTTTACTAGCAGAAATTTGCAAGAGTCAAAAAGAAAAATTTAAATCCAACGTATATATTTTTTTAATTTTATGACAATGAGAAATATTTCCAATAAAAAAGAAAATTGCGCGCCAAAAAATTAACTGCCAGAAAGTGTCAAAATGGCAAGTTTTTACTAGTTTTGTGTTAAATAACTTTTTCTAATAATTTTCTCTTCCGCTCAATTTTACTCCCTATTTTACTTTTACGCTCTCGCTGCAAGTACTTACTCGAAAAGTTATTGAATGGACTGGTTATCTTTTAGAAAAATCTCATGTTTTTACTAGTCTTTATTAGTATTTAGAGTTAATTTAAATTTGTATCTTATCTTATGCGCAAAATTAGTGCATACATGTGACTTCATATTGACATTAATAATTGTAGCTTGTCAATTACAAACAAAATTAAGACAAACGTTCATAAACAAAAGCTATTGACCGACTAGCATAGAACTTCAGAAATCTGGTAAAAAATTGCGATCAAAATTATAGCTGGGAGCAAAAGCTAAATTTAATTTTCTAAGATCTCGTAGCTTGTGTAAGTTTTAATATTTCGGCTCCTACGGTATACAAATTACGTATACTATTTTTACTTACCCACTAATACATAGCGCCGAGAGTACCGGCACCCAGCCACTCTTCAGTACCGACCGCGTATATTTATTTTTGAGCACAATAGCTACCCACATAGGTAAAAGCACTAAATAACAAGCGACTATAACAAATGTGATCCATAAGTGAGTTTCTGTAAAAGAAAAAAATAAAACATATTAGTGGTAAATAAAACAAATATTAACTATTTTGTGTGGGTCCCCAAAACCCCCCAAAAAAAAGAACTGAAATGGGGGACCCATAAAAATCGTTAGCGATAAAAAAAAGTGGTAAAATCAACAACTGGGTATTATCCTTCTGAAGAGACGTAGAGTTTTCCGATCAGAGCATATTGATATTTAAGAATTCCATGAAAGTTGCATTTTCCCATATAAAACTTTGTGCGCTCTGAGCGACCTTGTAAATATTTTTTTGATTTCGAAATAAAAAAACAGGGGTAAATTTTTTCGATATAGAAATAATCCTAGGATGGCAGAGCAATAAAATTTGGAATTTACTTGTTTCACATGCGCTTTTGGACGAACCTATTGTGTACTTACAAGTGAACAATGGGCTTCTTCTGCCTGGAAAATATTCTGTGCAAATATCCGGCCAAAATGTTAGAGAGAGTGTTCAAAATTATGTTAAAAGTGGCTAAAGTTTTTAAAATAAACATAAAATTTGGGCAATTACGCATTCAATTTATTCAAATTCGATGTTTACATGACGTTTTAATATTTTAAAGCGATTAACTTTTTTTCACTTGTATGAAAATTACGTAAAACTCGTACAAAAAAGTACGAGCATTTTTTCAATATTTGTTGGAGATATTTCTTGAATTTTTGCTGAGCTCATCCTATTTATCTTACCTAACGTTTGACGTTAGTTGTTTTGTAAAATTAAAGAGGCAAATTATAACACCGTGCGACGAAAACAAAAAATTTCGAAACACACGTAGCAATCTATATACTCACGAAACTGTGCACCAAATACAAATAGTAACACTGCGTTCTTAGTTTTTCTCTCTGACGTTAGGATTTTTTTTTAAAGAACAATGCAGATTAAAAATATGGGTAGCAAATGATTCAAGAAAATTCTATAGAATTTAAAAGTATTTAAATTTTTAGGTTCACAAGAACCAATATGTATCGAAATTAATTAAATTAATTTTATTTTTAACCTTGAAAAGTTAGAAGGATGAAATTCAATGATGTGGTCGAGTGTATATTAGGATGAAATTTTAAAAGGACATTTTCAATACTTACTCGTCGTTATACACCAAAAGAATAATTTTTCTCTAGTTCTACAGTATTTTCTCTTTAATTTGATACCAATACGGTTTTTCTACATTGCACTGAATTTTTTAAATAATTTTTTGAAGATATCGTATTTTTAAATTTCAATTACGTCAAAGAGAAAATTAAACACGCAGTTTTACGATATTTGGCCCACTGTTTCGCGAATATATTGATTTCTTGACTGTCGCCCATTGTAATCGGCAATCTCTTGTAACGATAATATGACAGTTTTCCGAAAGTTTCTTTTATATTTTTGAATTAAGGAGATAGTACCCANACTTGCACCAATGCAATATTGCCGACAATCATTTTGATGACTTCCTTACGCGTGGTCATATTGCCCAAATTGACCTGTGTCGATAGACGTGATGCGAGGCACATATCGAGATTGCCCTTGAGGCCAAGCAATGCCGGCACGAGAATGAATAGTTCGGTGATCTCTTTGAAGACACGCCATTTCTATGCAAAGAATGTGAGTGGAATAAAGAATTAAAATTATATATGCATATGTAGGAGATGCATATGAAATACAAAAATTGTACAACAAAATCAAACAACTTATGTATGTATGTATGTTTGTATATGTTGTAAGCAAATTAATCAAAATGTAAAACACGTAATTGTCAAATTTAAACGCCACTTTAGTTGCATATCATTAGCCAATAAATATGTATGGTGCGAACAATCATTATAATTGAGGTATATATACTATATTCTATTTTGACATGTGTAATTGAATTACATATTTATTTACATTGCAATTTCATTAGTTACTTAAAAAACAAGTAAATAAAAATAAAGTTGTGAATAAGTAATTCTTTAAGAATAACCTTGTTTGTCATGTTAATAGCAGTAATTTTATCTAATCATAGCAGATACTACAAAATACTTTTGTTTATTTATAATTTTTTAATCTCGAAAATGGAAAACACACTCAATTTCTTGTGATCAGTTGTCTTTTTAGCCACTTCAGTTAAAGACGCCATTTGATATCATGACATCAGGCTGACAAGTGCTTTTTGACATTGCCTAGCACTACTTAAAATGGCTGACCATAAGAAACACTCACGTGGGCTCATGAGCTTATCGATGATCTAAGACGAAAACATTTCTCTAGTGACAACTAGTTTTTGTTTAAGTATCGATTATGCGCATACACAAATACATATGTACATATGGGTATATCCTAGGTAACGGACGTGACATTCGCACGCGTTTAACCAAGCTTAAAATAGGAAAGAAGCGGAAAGATCGTATGGGTATTACAATTATTGCAAAGCATTATAAATTATAAGACTAGGGTGTTCGATTATTCGACTTTTCCCAAAACGTGGTTTCGAATTGTTGGAAAAGGCAATTTGAAAGAAACCGGTTCACCATTTTTAATTACAAAAAAAAAAACTGGTTAGACCGGTAATTTGTTTTTAATTTTTCGTGCTTTGATAGTACTTACAGTTGGTTAGAAATGAACGCCAAAAATTAAATAAAACTAAGTCAGAAGTCATGATAATGATCTTAAAATTTGTTTTTCAGTTTAAATATGATTGACATATATTTTTTTTATGACAAGCTTTTACTTGAAGTGGTTAATAAAAAGAAAAATCGACCACGCCCTTCGATGGCTAAACTGTTTTTAGTTATTTCTTTCTATTTAAGCTTTATAGGTTCTAAATATGAAACAAATGGGACCGTAAGTACATGTTTTCCAAACATCTAAACTCCTGCGCCACCTATCACCCACATTTTTTATGAAGTTATTCCTTTTCATGTACATAGGTAATAAATAATGAACCATATTGGACCATAAAATTGGGGTTTTTTTCAAATATCTCGACACATGCGTCACCTAGCGGGTATAATTCATCTTTCATATTGCATTGTCATCGGGCTGTGAGCCATGTTGGAAGTTTCAAGTTCAAGTGGTTAAAAATTGTTTGCAAGATTTGATTACACACAAGTCAAACTAAATAAAAACTTTTAAAATATATTAGCCCATAGATATAGTCAAAACAAAGTCGACCCTAAAAATAAAATCATCTTTTTGACATAACTTTCAATGGGATATTTGTCAATAAAGCCGTTTTATTCGACTCCGGCTATGCGATAAAAAAATTTTGATTTACTCGATATTCGAAAAATACGATTTCAAAAAATCGCCCGAAAACTTTGGAAAAAAAAACGGTGAAAACATAATTTTAACATTAAGAAACATAGGATATACTTATCTATCAGACATGTCTATATTCACTACAAAAAATTTAATATTTTTTAAGGAAAATAGTTGAGACATCGTTAATATTCTGCTATGCAATCGACCTATCGATTGGGAGATATTTATTTCTTGCTTCCATTTGTCTTTATCTGTATATATTTATATGGACTTACATATATGGCTCTATATAGCGGAATCCGCTTGATCAAATATCTCGCAGTATGAAAAATATGATTGAAGAAGTGAAGAGATATCGCAAAGAACGCTATGTATTAGCAATTGTTTTTGCCATTGTTGGCAATCAAAAATTGCTAGCCATAAAAAATCTGATTGCATGGGTCTTTTGTACGTCAATTAAAAACTTGATTAATTTACTGGTTCAAGGTAACATCAAACAGGGCTATTGACATACATATAAAGTTCTTCACCAGTTCACCAGAGAAAAGGAATCAGAGCGCTTCGTAATTTTATGTTGTACTGGGCGTATGAGTAACATTTTATTGGCAAATATGTTGAACCTCCGATCCGACGGTAATCAGAGGATGCTTGATCAATGGCAGACCGTTATACAATTAAATATATGTACATACATGTATGCATACACATGTAAATGTAATACATATATATTTTTAGTATCTAAATAAAGGTTATGCAATACTAAACAATCAGATTGTGGTGTTACGAGCATTAAAACGAGGCGGTGTACCTCAAAATAGACGCCTTACTCTGTACATATATGTATATGTATATATTATTTACTATAACTAAATTTTTAACATTGACACTGCGCTTAGAATTTATTAAAGGCAAAATATAAAAGAAGAGTATCTAAAATAATTTAAGCAGAAAGGCTATTGTGAAAGACTCAGAAAAAAAAAAAAATTGTGAAATTTGGCACCCTTTTAATACAGCTAAGTAAAGCTAATGGATGTGAAGAGATGTGCGACAATAGATATAAATGAAATATGTATGCGATACAAAGCGGACTTCTTTGAATTGTTTACTAATACAAGTGACAATTTAAATGTTTGCTCAAAATTAAAAAACAAGTATTGTTAAGTAAAATTCGTGGGAATTCGATAAATAAATCATTTAAGTAATATACACTTGTATACTTAATTAATTTTCTCCTCTTTATCATCAAATGCGACAAAATTTTCGTGGAACTTTCCGCTAAAATGCTAACTTTCGTAAAAGCGTGTATGTAGTATTTATATAGCTTATTTAACAAGCTGCTATGAAAATGTCAATAAGCAAATTTATATTAACATACTTGTGTACGTTTAATATGATGTGTTGTCGCAATCTCAGACAATAGCGCAATCTGTTGTGCCATTAAAGTAGGAGAAAAAAATAAAATTGATATACATACATAACAAATCAGCGTGTCGAGAGTTTGTTTTATTGTAATTTTTTTTTGTTTTTTTTTTTTTGTTGACTTAGGATAAGTATGAATTTTATGCGCTTATGGCTAGTCATTAAATGAAGCTCAAACACGACAAGAGATAACATGCCGACTAACTGTGTTTGCATTATGTATGCACGAATATGTGTAAGAACACAAGTTATTACATACATATATACATACATACATAATATTTACATACATATGTATGTATAATAATGCATCTGCTTTTAGCTTAAACTTCACTCACAGCTGTTTGAAAATGTGCTCTTTGATTCTGTTGCTGGACTTTTTATTTTCATTTTAATTACCGCGATTGCACTTAATTTATAATAATTTCGTTAGTTATAGATATTTCACCTTTAATTATCAATAACAAGTGGTATTTATGTATGTCTTTCTCAGCTTATAGGGGAATAACTTGTGGAGGAAGCCGGAATAGCCTGCGCTTAAACGCCGAACATCTGATGAGCTTACTGAGGAAGGACGCAAGGCCTAAAAGCTCTAAAAGGATGCGGTTAATAAAACCAGAAGAAGATCACGCTGAAGTGCATCTGAAAGTGTGTAAACCTCAAGGTATGCCATACAGGTCACATCTTGCAGAATTGAAGAGTGGCCAATACGAATGGAGCGAAAAAAACAAGTTTGCAGTTCACACGCGGTACAAGTGAAACCTTCATGACACTAAACTACGAAAGAAGTGTAAGGAGTGCTATAATTAATTTTATTTATTTTAAAGCAGACAACCTCTTGATTTTTTTTTATAAAGTGAATTTCGTGTGCTGATTTAGCATTATTTTTTGCGTTAAAAAACCATTACCGAAACCAAGGAAAGGCGTGATAAATACTATGGAGATTCTGCCTCAACAATTTCAATGGTTAAAAAGTGGTTTACTGAGTTCCGTTGTGGTCGTACCAGTCACTGTGAACGTTTAGATCGCCCTAAAGAGGATGTCCCCCCAGAAAGCGCCCATAAAATTCATTGAGTGATATTGGACGATCGGACGAGGAAAGTGTGTAAGGTGGCTGAGTGAGTGGCTACATGATATTTTACATGAATTTTTTGTTTAAGAAATATCTATCCGCGCGATGTGACCATTTAAAAGGTGTGTTTTACGATTTTCAGCCATAATCCGAATGACGAAGCATGGATCCTTGCAGCATAGATAACTTGCATGAATAAAGTTGTATTTTTACTTTCTGACGAAGAATTCTTTACCCCAAATATTCCCAAGTAAAAACGTATGCATGTATAAAACCTAATGTAAATGAATCTACCAGATTAAAGTCATCGAAAAAATCATCGAAAAGATCATCGAAGTTAGACTTTTGGTTTCTTTCAAAAGTGTTTTTTTTTTGTATCCATAATTGCATGCTCATTCATCTATTACTTAATTGTGTATTAAGGAATCTAGTGATTATAATGTTCTTATCGTATTTTTAATTGCATTCTCTTCAAACTCTAAGTTGTATGTAGTATGTTATTATACCAAATAAGTGCGCAATTAATTTGAAAATTTTAACATACCCGAACGTACGTACTATGTATGGGGTACTCGTACATACATACATACATATGTGAACAAGTAAAAATAATAAAAAGTGATAAGTAATAGTCGGATACATAACTTAAAAAAAAAGTACAATTAACTCATTTCGCCACATATCGCGTCACAAATTCATTTTCGCACATGGCACACGCAATTAAAGTGGCATTTAACCATTTCACATGCAACGTATGAAAATTTTAGTTTTTATTTTTGACTTTCTAATAGGGCTGTGCGATTATTCGATTACTCGAGCAAGTTGGTTAATCAATTATTCGGTTAATCAATTACTCGAGTAATCAAGATTTTGATTACTCAAAACGATAATTAATCGAGTTACTTGAAATATGATTACTCAAAAAAAATAATTTTGCTCGTTAAAAGAGTTTGCTTTGGAAAATGCTTATTTTCTTTTTTACATTCTGTATATGAAAAAAATTTTTTGTTTTAATTTTTGAAAACAGAAACGTTGTTTTCAAAGTGTCAAGGAACTTTAGCTACTTTATACATATGTAGAGAGTTGAAATGTTGATTACTCATTTTACTCGAAATGTTGATTAATCATAAAGCAAATTACTCAAATATTTTTGTTTTTGGTTAATCAAAAATCTTGATTACTCGAGTAACTGAACTTTTGAGTAATCATAATTTCCAATTAATCGAATAATTGAGTTATTTACTTTATGATTAATTAAAATTTTGAGTAATCAATTAATCGCACAGCCCTACTTTCTAATAATAACGAAACGCCTACATTTTATTGTAAAATGCAACTCACCTCTACACGCCCGAGTATAATGCCCGCACCGATTGTACCAACGCCAGCCAAAAAGAACGGTATCGACACCTGCAACAGTATTGAGGACCATTTCTCCTGTTTAATGCCCGGTCGATTTAGCGCCAATTTCTCATCACTGCTACCAGGCACACCGGCGATACTGCTCGCGTCTAATGCACCGATGCTGCTGCCACCACCGCCTGCACCACCGCCACCGCCGCCACCGCCACCACTACTTCCACGACCACGACCACCACCCGTGCCAGGATCTGGTTCTGAGGATGCTATGGACGTCGTGATGATTGAGCTTAGTGAACCAGTCGTCGATTGTGGTAGACCGGACAACTTGTCATTGTCGGTGTCTGGAAAAGAGAGTATGGGAAAAAAAATCGACAAAAAGAAAGAGAAAGGGAAGAGAGATGAGAATTAAACATTAAATTAACTAAAAATTAGGTGGGTAAAAAACTAAGTAGGAAAAAAAATAAATAAATTTATATATAAATATCATAAAAGTTTTGTTTATATTTATTTATAGTCTTATATCTAAATTAAACCGCATACAAGCAAATGCTTAGACAAACGAAGCGAAAAAAACTAAGAAATCGTGCAGCAACAAAAAGGGGTTGTATGAGCAGCAGTTCAATTAAATTGGCTTGACTTATTGATATGGCTCAATTAAAACTAACTCAGCTGTGAATTCATCAAACATACTTACAAGCATTTACGTTGTGTAGGTAATTGTGCACAGAAAAAGTTCATATGTTTGTATGTGGGCGTGTGTGTATAAAAATATTTAAATATACCCACCAGACATTTTTTGTTGCCGGAAATAAGAAAACTCAGCAACAAATTTATTACCGGCAATATCGCCATCGTATCGATTTCTTATTACCAGTCGCCCTAAAACGTCCGCCGCAGGCAACTCGCCTGGGCGAGTCGTTTTCTTATTACCTGAATGTGTCGTTTTATTATTGCTACAGGCGATATTTGAATACTAATTTCTTGCAACAATTTTTTTAATACAAACTTATAATTTGTAAACGCTATGGAGCTTCTTATTTTTTCAACCCTGTTTTGGGCATAAATTAGGTGTTTTTGAAGAATCCTGTTGACACGAAGTTCATCAGTTTGGGATTTCTCACTACGGCTATAAATCGGCGAGTCACCAATTTGTTGCCATTGACGATTGTTTGCCTATTTTTAATGTTTTGCATGGTGGGTATTTTCGAAGGAATTCATGTTGCAGTGAAGTTCAAATTATTAGTTCTTCACTTTTATCGATAAAATAAATGAAAAACTTTGCTACAAGTATAACTCTGAGTCACGCCAAACTTTAATTACTACTATTCGTTTTGGTAAAAACTTAACTCAAATGACAAGTGCATACATATAAACATAAGTACACTATAGAGCAAGAGTGAACTTTTATACGTAATTCCTGCACTCCTAAGTGATAAAACAAATCAAATAAATGTTTTTGGTATTTATTTGTTGCTCACTTGTCTAAAAAATTTGTTCTAGAGAAATACGAAATATTTTTAAGTTGAGTATGCTCTTTGTCTGAATATTTATCTAATCAATTATTCCTTTATGATTTTTGATGAGTATTTGGGGCATTACCCTGTTGAAGCATGGAATATTGTAAAATTGTTTTTCGCTGCCGCTGTAGCTGAGCGATTAGTGGTGTGTACTACTTACTTACCATTCGACAAGAACTTACTGACACCTCTAAGAAATCATTTGATTAACCCTTACAAAATGACATTAACTTACAAAAATTTTTTTTTTATTGTTTGTGAATCAATTAACAAAGATACTGGCTAAATAATACACCAACGTTGAGAGAAAATTTGATTATTCTCGAAGACGTACTTGAATAAACTATGTTCTTATTTTAATAATTAAGAATGATAAAAGCCTTAGAACGGTTAAATTATTTATTTTAGAGTATAGCAAAATCATTAGTTAAACTTAACTACAGAACCACTTCTGGCCACCGACTTGATTCAGTAAAACATTTAACTAAAATTCTCTCATCTACTCTTGTTTAAAGCAGAGTTATTTGGGATTCCTAACGGTCTTTTTGATTTACCCTTAATGGATAGGAAAAAAATTGTTTTTGGAAACAACTACTCTTTCGTGATGATTGTTGCTAGATCCGCTGTAATAATGTAATGAAAGTATTTAAACCGAAAGAAAGTTGAAGTAGTTAATATATCGCCAAAAAATATGTGATCAATATAAGGAGACAACCATAACAAGCCTTAAGATATGCCAGAGATACTTATATTTTTGAGGCGAGGAAAAGAAAGAAGTGAGTAAAACTAAATCTTATGCCTTCATATCTCTTGTATCCTCCTTGAGATGGTAATAAAACAAATCAGTTTATAATTTCTTGGCATTTTTTACAAGAGATTAAGGCGCCAAAATCCATGGACGAAGATGACACATCTCCACAACGGATTAATAGTTACACTGCCAAAACAAAGTATTTGCACAGCAAATTTTTCACAATATATACAAAAACTTTTATTCTAATATTTTTCCGCCAATTTTGTATAAAAATATGGTTCATTCCACAACAAAAAACATAAAAATATAATTTCTAAACCTTGTGCAAAACTCGCGAAAACTCAGCAAATTTTCGTCAAAATTTTCAACTTTTTAAGGAGGTTTTTTACAATTTTTTTGAGTATGCAGTTTTGCAGCCCATTAAATTCTAGTAAAAATGCAAGTTCGGATTTAGTCAAAAAACGCGTTGATTTTTTGGATTTTTTTTTGTTGAAGGCAGGGACGTAAACCGGTTTTGAACCGGAATACCGATTTTTTCTATTAATTAACTGAACCATTAACCGAACCGAAATTTTCCACAAATGTTTGATCCGAACCGAAAACCGAACCACTTTCCATAAAGGTTTAAAGGTTCGTTTCAACCAATTTTCAATGGATAAATGTACCAACTTTTTTTCCTTTTTTTAAACATGGTAATACCTACCATGTTTGTTTACCATGTGACAGTATCAAATGTAAAGGCAACTCATCTCATTTGACAGACCCTTGTCCCTTAACCTTGCGCGTTGTTGCACTTGACACTTGACACTTAAACTTCCGTGTTATTGTGTTGTTTTTCGAACCTTTGAACCGAACCGAAACCCCGGTTCAAAGACCAAAAAGACCGCTTTGACGAACCAATCCAAAAGTGCAAAAACGGTTCGAACCGCTCTACCGAACAGACCAAATTTTTCATCCGGTTCACGTCCCTGGTTGAAGGTGTATTGCAGTTTTTCCATATAAAGTATTTTCGAAAAAAAAATTTTGTATGGAAGAGACTGCGTGAAAAAAAATTGCCAAAAATCAACAGTAATTCCTAGCTACTTAAAACTTGCACTTTATTATAATAGAATTGATTGGGCTACAAATCTGCATACTCAAAAAAATCTAAAAAATCTGATTAAAAATTTAGTGAAAAATTAGCTGTGCCAATACTTTGTTCCGGCAGTGTATGTTAATTGTGAGATGAATTTCTGAGCAAACTGGAACTTTTTAATTAATAAAAAAATTAAATAAAAAAATATATTATACGAGTACAGACATCCGACATATAGGACATAGAAATATTAATAAACAGTTCATCAAAAGAAGTGTGAAAAGGAATAAAATGCAATTGAATAGGAAAAGTACAATGCGAGTAAGAAAAGATAGTGACAATACTTAGGTAGATATTAAAAAAAATATACTATGAGGAAAAGTAGTAATCAAAAAAAAAATTGCTTATGTACATATCTAAATAAAAAAAAAA